ATTGAACAGGGATTTTCTAAGTGTAGCTTAGATGTGACACAATGGTGTAAGTATGAAGCACCCATTAAGGATTGAACTCGCTATTCAGTTGTAGTTGATCAAGTGAGACAAGCTTGCTAACCATTACACCACATCAAAGTGCCCAAACCTCATTGCAATTGAGAGCCTACTGTGTAGCATAATGGCTAATCAAATGGGGTTTTATCAACCATCTCCTTGTTTAGTCAGTCTGACAAAGCCATAACAGTTGGGTACCTTGTGAGGTGTGAACTAAGTAAATTTATTAAGTGTTCATAAACACTTAATATTGATATCTGATATTTCAAGCCTAATGGTGCAATTTCAGTTTCAACAAAGAATATTTTGTAAAATATACACAAGCCAAAGATCAAGATTACAATATGTTAAGTAGAATTTTTTTGTCGATGGCAAACTACGAAAGTTGTATAGAACCATTTTTAAAAAATTAGGAGATATATAATGAGAGAGGGGGCACCTTGGCATGGTGTAATGGTTAGCAAGCTTGTCTCGCTGGAACATGTTATGACTGAGTAGTGAGTTTGATCCTCACTAGGTGCTCCATGCTTCCGGCCTTGTGCCACATCTAAGCAGCGCTTAGAAAATCGCTATATATGAGAGAGGGAGATAGAAAGTTATAATAATAAATTAAAATCTATCAAATGTTTTTTTCTTAGCTCAAATTGTAAATCGGTATAAATTTATTTGACTTGTACAACATTTTAAAAATAGACCAAATTCAGTTCTTTGTGAAGATTTTAGTCAAATAGTGGCACTGAATATTTTACTGTTGCCCCATTTTGATTTTGTTATAGTATTAGGCTTGGTATATCTATAATAGCCCATTTAGTCAATGTTTAATTCCTAAGCACTGACCACAAGTCGTTTCAGGATATAGGTGACTATGACTCTCATGTCTTTTGTTGCTCGAAGTTACTTTTGGCCCCTTTTCCCTTCTGCCCCCCCTCAGCAATGGGTTAAATAGGATTTCATATGAAAAAAAAATCAGTTTTTTCACAAACAATGCAATATTCACTCACTAAAAAAAAAGAATTCTAACAATCCAAAATGTTTCTGCTTCAACCCTTCTGCATTCAATCCGCCCTGTAAATATTGGCTCTTATTTTTTTCATCCTCCATAACCCCACCTCCTGTATCGGTCAGTCAGTTAGCCAAAGATCAAGATTACAGTAAGACAATAAGTAGAATTTTTTTGTTGATGGCGAACTATGCAATTTGTATAAACAATTTTTAAAAAATTAGGAGATAGAGCTGAAAGACAAACTTTACTAAGGGTTACAAAAGACAGGAAGTTGTAGAGAGCCATGATCCCCTACATCTTGAAGGTGCACAACACAGATGAAGACACATTTTTACAAAGATGATATCTCATTAAAAATCAGTAACCACCTTTTTCTTTTGAAATTAATTTTTTTTTTATCAATCGAGTTCACCCTAAGCAAGGCAGTTAAGCCACTAAGACACAAGGGGTTACTGGGTGTGGAAGACAAACATTGCTAATGAGTGCAAACAGAAGAGTAATCAGGTGGACAGTAGATATCAATTGACATTGCATTTAAATTTTTGGAGGTTAAAGTTGGCTGGAAAACATGGAGCTGGAAGTGAGTTCCACAAGCGAAAAGTGTGAGAAAATACTGTTAGCATAGAATTTAGTTACATCAAGCTAACTCAACTGTAAATTGAGGAGTCCTCAATGCCAATCTTAAATTCAAAAAGTTTAAGCACCATAGTGAAGGTTTGAACAATTACCATGAAAATATTTATAGAAAAGTCACAGTGACTAAAGCTGAGATGCCTGATCAGAGCCAATAGAATTGCTGATTCTTTGGATTTTATTTAGAGCACCTTTATTTATTATTTGAGGGTTGTGCAGGTGCTACAGTGGTTATCAGCATGGAAAGTGAAATCACCAAGCTGTTCAAGGCTTTGTTGATGTGTATTCAGTTTGTGAGAGTACAATGGCTGAAATGTTGATAACAGCAAAGATGGGGATATTAGTCTGACTACAAATAATATAAATAACAAAGGCTAAAACTTGGATAAATTGTGAGCGTTGTTTCTTGAGGATTAAGCAACTAGTTTTGACCTTTTGAAAAACTAATTTTCTCATGAATAGTTTTTTTTTTTTTCTTTTTTTTTTTTTGTAGCTACCTGAAAATGTCAACAAGGTGAAGGCAAATAATGTTTCTAGCTTCAAATCTCCAGTTGTTATTCATAGAAATTCAGACCATGTATCATTCTATGCAAGCAATTGAAAAACCTTTCTCTGGAAAGAAAAATATTAGAATTTTATTATACTTAAGGATTGTTAAAATATCTTAGACTTAAAATAATCTAACAAAATAATCTATTGGGGATGGTTACTAAGTTTTATTTGTTCTTGAAAAACATTTTAAAGATATATTTAAATATATACAAAAATTTATAAAATAAAGGGGGAGGAGTGGCAAGGATAAGAAAAAAATATACTGACTGTAAAGTGGTGGATTGAAAAATATAACAAAAAAAACAAACAAAAGAAAAGGCTAACTGGCTGTCACTCCTTGCTCTTCAGAGTTCAAATGGGGAAAAAACAAATGTGTGTAAAAAAAAAAAAAGAAAAATTACTGCTTATTCTCGGGTCATAACCTTTTTTGTTTTTATATTTGTTTTGTCCTCAGTTGAGCTCTGAAGAGTGAGGAATGTTAACCAGTTAGCCTTTTTTTTTGCCATTTCTGTTTTGTTATATTTTTCAATCCACCACTTTATGGTGAGTACTTGAAAAAATTTTTTTTTTTTAATTCATGCTCTATCTCCCTCTTTATTTTTTTAAAATTTTTTTATATATTTTCTACATATTTAAGACATATTTAATTTAAGAATGTCTTTTTTTTTTTTTTCTTTCTTGTGCTCTGATCTGACACAAAAAAATGCACTGTTGTTATTTAAACTATTTACATTGTTTGGACTGTTGTCCACATCTTTATCACATCTATAGTGTTTCAGACATTTACACTCCGGCCTTCTTCAGGTGATATTTGTTTGAATTTCTTACAGCAGCTGAAACAGTGTGACAATAAAGATGAGAACAACAGTTCAAACAAATAGTCTAAATAGTTGCAATAACTCATCTCAGAAACTATAGACAGAAGCACTATTGTTGTTTGCCAATCATACAGAATAGAAAGCTATTAAAAGATTTCAAGAAATTATTTAATTATGTGGAGTGTTTAAGGTAAAAATGAGTGAATGTTATCTTCCAAAAAAGTGAATTATATTGAATTGTTTGGAAAAGAAGCATATACATTTTAAAGACTAAATCTTTGACTGTATATTTATGACCTTTTAAGAGGGTTTATTAAACAAATATGTCAAAATTTTTATTCACTCTTATATTTACATATACAGTGATGTGACAGATTCTGACAGTAGTGAAAAATAATGAAACCCTTGTGATCTTTGTTGTATTTGAGCCATGCCATGACAAGAATGATGTAAATTAGTTATTGATTTTCAGTTTTAAAAAAAAGCTTCTTTTGCTAAAAAGTGCCACTCTTCTAGTGATTCTAAGAATAGATTAGAATTTAGAATTCCTCCAAAATATATATGTATATATAGTTAAAGCATATGTCCTTTATTTTGTTGTTTGCAATTTGTTATTGTCTGTTTTCTTTGCTTTTATATCAAACCTCTGGAATGCTTTCAGATTGAAAGTAAAAATTGTTTTTTATATATCTATATATATATATAAAATCATTTTATTTTTCTCTGAATTAACTGCTACTTCCATATCTGTCTATATTTCTGAGATGAGGTATTATATACACTATTTATATTATTTGGACTATTGTAGAACTAGAACAGTCTACCCCAGTGAGCGAAATAAAGGGTTCAGTTTGACATTCCAACAAACTGAAGAAGGCTGGAGCATACAATAGCCGAAATGTTGTAATAAATATGGCGACAAAGTCAATAGTCTGAATAATGTAAATAGTGTGTTACTTCCATGTTTGTTTCTTTTTCATTAATAAAAGAAGCAAAAAATTTCTGGTGTTTTTTTTAAAAAAAAAAAAAAAAATGAAGCAACAAATTTTGTTATTCTTACCTAAAATTTGCATATACCTCTAACCATTTCAAAAGAACGCTATGAAAAACATCCATTCAATAATTTTAAAAAATTTCTTTAAAACCTTGACTATATATATTTTTTAAATAATCTTCATTTTAGTTAAATAAGATTGTTGGTATTACTTTACTATTATAACTCTCTCATCCCCAAGTTTTAATTTATCATCTTTAAGTAGTCAACTGGCCGGTGACTGTGAAATGAGGGTGGAATTGATTATGTAAAATTCAATATGGGAGACAGGTGTAATAGTAAAAATTTACTAAATGAAAAAAATCAATGCAAAAAAGAAAAAACTATTTTATATCTAAAAAAAAAAAAAAAAATTGAAAATATTTTCAAATACACAATAATTATCCAAAAACTGAAAATATTTCAGCACTTGATTTGTAAAATGAGGGTTTGTCAGTGGGCAGCAAGTATTAATGATAAAATAGAACTTGTATACGATGATCAATGTAAGTTAAGGTTATATCACTTCAAAGTATATTTTTAAGGTTTTGGAAGATTGATTGATTGATTTTTTTTTTTTTTTTTTTTTAAGAAAAAAAAAAAGGTGAATTTTCCATAAAATGAGTAAATTTTCTTGCCAACAGAAATCAAATGAAATGCACCAATTGAATTAAAAACCTTAAAAATGTAAATCTGATGTTTTCTCATTGCATAAAGCAGATCAAATCATGTGACCATTTTTGCCCTGAAACTGCAATTTCTTTGTTTTTCCCCAGTGATTCTTCTTTTTTTTTTTTTTTTTTTTTTTTTCATTTTCTTATCTTTGTCTTTCTGAATAATCAATGTCATTTCATTTTTATGCAGTTGTTTTCTATTTTATTTACAGACGTCCCACCTTCCCATCATGTTGTCTTCAGAGGAAACACAGGATGATACCATCCGCATGAAGGTTGGATATAATGGGTATGTCTATTTTAAGTTGATGCATCAAGTTATTTTAAAGCTGTCTAAAAGATGGGTTGCCCATAGCATGCTATATATATATATATATATATATATATATATATATATATATATATATATATATTTTTGGCAGCATGTTTTCATTAATACATGTCTCATTAAATAATTTAGACAAGTTTTGTCTACTTATTTTTAATAGGATCCTCTCATAATTACAAATTCCTTAGTATCCTTATTAAAGGAAGAAATAAAATTACCATGTCGATGCATATTCATTTTAGTCTGAGTACTTTTGGCATTAGCACAATGTCATCATCAGTGTCTTGTTTTTTCTAAGACAAAAACTTGGGTTAATCTGAAAATTAATTTTTTTTTTTTTTTTGTTTTTTTAACTTGCTAAGAAAATTATACATTTTGTAAATTTTATGATGTAAACGTAGGGGCAAACATCAAGGGAGATAACTAAGTTGTTGAAATGTCTAAATATTTAAAAAAAATATTTAAAACTATTAGTTAAAACCTAACATGGTAATTTTCTTTCTTCCTTTAATAAGGAAACTAAGAAACTTGTCTGTAATTACGAGAAGATCCTATTAAAAATGAGTAGACAAAATTTGTGTAAATTATTTAATAAGACATGTCTTAAAATAAATCCGAAGAGCTGCATTCGCTGGTTCCCAGACTTCATGAGTTCAAGCACTCTACGAGGCTGGCATCCCGCTCTCACCCTTTCACTGTTGAAACTCCTAAATGTAGCCGTCTCTTCTACTCCAATAGCTTCATGTCTTGCACCTCTTGCCTGTGGAACTCCCTTCCCTATTCCAGTTTCCCTGAGAGCTATAATCTCCAGCTATTCAAATGTAATGTCAATCGACATCTCCAGTTGCCTTGATCTATCCACTATCTCTCTCCTCATCCTTTATTCTATCACTCTTATCTGATCTTCTGTAACCCCTTGCGTCCTAGTGGCTTCTCGCCTTGCTTGGGGTGAAACGCTTAAAAAAAAAAAAAATTTTTTTTTTTTTTTTTTTTTACTAGTATGTTGCGGATGGAGTTTGGTAGGTTTCCATGTGTATTTTGTATTTAGTTTGGTAGGTTTCCATGTGTATCCTCATTGAGCTAGTCAGTTGTAACATGAGTTGTCTCAATAGGGATGTAGTGGTATGACCAATATAATTATGAGTTTGTTTTGATCAGACACAGTTCCTTAAAGGGCATGTAAACTCCTAAATAATATTATTTCTCTGTAATTTAGATTTTGCATGTGTGTTATTGTTGATTATAAAGTTAGTTGTTTTAAATTTTTTCTAGTAGATGTTTAATTTTCTTGTTCTGGTCAACTTGGGGTTGTGTATTGCTTTTTGATATTTCTAAGAGAAAATTAGTCTTGCTTATAGTCAACGTGTTTTTGGCATTTATAGAAGATCTTAATGTTATTGTTTTTATCTGTTGACGATAACACACCTGCAAGATCTAAAATTATGGAGAACTAATATTATTTGAATACTGCAAGCCAACATTCAAAGGATAATACCTCAACTTCGATTCCCATCATCCACACAGTTTAAAGAAAGATCATCTGCTGCCAACAACAACAAGCAAAAGTAATAAGTGGTGACCCAGAGATATATAAACAAGAAATGGTCTTATAACAACTACTCTGGGTACATGAAAGCCCCCACAAACTGTGATAGATGAGTACAAGATGATAACACTCAGGGTATGCAGACTGAGGTTGTTTTCTATGCTAAAGATGCAAAAGATGAGTAGTCCATATAACATCAGGACAACTATCAGTAGTGATTCATGCAGACATCTCTTCTGAGTAAAACCACCTGTAGAATAGAACATGGTTAAGGACTGTGTGTGTGACATCCCGTGAAGCTGTAGCAAGAAATATGAAGGAGAATTGGGCTGCACCCTTAAGATAAAACTGCAGGAACACCGTAATGCTGTAATATGAGGAGCAATAGAAAAATCAGGCATGGCTAACCATATATGGAGGGAAAAGAGAGATTGACATCCTCTCTTGGATGAAGTTGAAAGAATAGACAGAGAACATCACTGGAAAATATGAAATCTTAAGGAATCTGTGCATATGCTAGGATATAAAAATCTAAGCTGGCCAACAAATACAATATGGAGACAGCTGGAAAAAAAAAAGAAAAAAATCATATGAGCTCTGGTATAAACAAAAAAAAAATGAACTTAGACATTAGGTTTATAAGTCCCAAAAATTCACTCACTGATGTCCTATAAAAAATAAAGATTACACAATAGCCACATTTGTCTTTTTTTATGCAAAATATAAAAAAAAATTAACTCCCCACCAAATATAAATTCTTGTTCTCAACAAAAAAACCTAGTTAGTGGGAATAGAAAGGGAAAAGTGACCTTGTGTTTCTCTTCTCTTCTTGAGTTCAAAAGAGATGTCAATCACAGGATAAGACTTGATTACTGCATCTTACTTATTATAAAATGCAGATTGTGTGTGTCTGTACGTTTATATATTGGATTGGATTTCCTACATTTTTCAACCAATTTCAACAAAACTTCACAGGACTACGTAAAATAACCTTGTGGTGGTTCTGACAGTGCCCAAAATTGGAAAAACACAATTGTTTTTGCACAAAATCAATTTGAAAACACGATTAAGGCATCACTCGCCAGAATGAAAGGGGGACAACTCATATCGAGTTATACTTATAAAACCCAGGTTGTTTGTGTGTGTGTGTGTGTGTGTTTGTTTATATATGGGATCGGATTTCCTACATTTTTCAACCGATTTCAACAAAACTTCACTTTTTTTTGGCAGGTAGTGTTTCTTATTGTCTTGCACACTTTTTTTCTTTATTTTTACATTCAGAATGCTTTAAAATTTCCGTTTACAAGACAATTGTTTTTATAATAAAATTCTATTCAATCGATAGGCTCATAACAATTGAAAACAATGTTTTTGTTTGAGTTTGGGTTTGACCAATTCGTAAAAAAAAGAAAAAACAAAAAAAAAAAAAACTAATTAAGATGTGTCTGTCAACCTTAAACAATAATCTTTGTCAACTTTATTTTTCAGTCTTTATGATGGTCAATACTTGATCTATCTCTTACTGTTACATTCCTGGGCAACGCTGGGCTCTACTGCTAGTAAACTTTTAAAGGAAAAAACATTTATTACACAAGTAAAGGCAAAAAAGTACAAATACAAAATTTGCACAAAAATTTCCTTTTGTGCACCTATTAAGGCAGGATACCAAAATTTCAGATGTTTCAATAAGAGATTACAGTTGAAAAAAGAAAAAAAAAAGATTAGTTTTTCAGGAAGAGACAAGGATTCACTGACCAATAAAGATGACACAAATTAGAAATAAAGGAAATCTTTGAGGAAGCAAAAATTGCACAAGGCAGAAATTGCAAAAGCACACCCATCTAATTTCTTTAATTGAATACTAAAGATGAACGTCTCAGCACAAAAGGGTTTCAGGTTTTCAACAGGTTGTTGTCTTGAGGACTTTGTGTAGGCCTGGAAAGTTTGGCTTTAGTGTTTGCTTTTGTTCAAATTCTTCTTTGGAAGATGTTGAAAAGAATTTTCTTTTCTGGGATTTGAATCTGCCAATATAAATGTTAGCTCTTCTTTCTTTCCCTGTGATGATATATGACCTCTTCTGCTGGACTAATCCTCCAGCCTTGAAGTGTGGGAGCCTCTATTCTTCTTCTTCGATCATTAATTGCATTCTGAAGCTATCCGCTAACACTAACTACTTTTATTCAACAAAAGGTCACACCGGCACCATCCAGGTTTTCACAAGGACTGTTTCCCATAGGCCAGTAAATAAAAAAAATTATTTCTCAATAAATTCAAAAATTAATCTGCAACAATTCACAATGAAATAAGTGATGATGTTCAACATCATCACTTGATAAGATACCAGAGGTGTTGAAACAAAATGTTTTTTTTTGTAGTGATTTTATAACATATTTATGTTATAATTTTCGAATAATTATATTTGCTCTACTCTGTATTGAGCTCTCTTTTAAGAATAGGAGTTGTTGGTTATTGGAATTTATTCCGTATACACCAATCCTATACTTGTGCATATATATATATATATATATATATAATATATATATATATATATATATATATATATATATATATATATATATATATGCTGTATATTTAGGCAGCATATATTCATTCAAACATGTTTCATTGAATGATAAACATATTTATTTTTATAATAATACTTTCTAGTTCTCTAATCAGCTTTTTGATGTTAAGTTGAAATTCATCAAGGAAGGCACTATAGTTTTCCCTTACCCAGGTACTTTCAATCTCTAAGATCATCTTCAGGGGGGTATTGCAAAGACAACACTTATGGTAACTGTGACTGATGTTTCTTTTGTTTTACGGCATATCAACCTCGTTGGGTAATTTAATACCAACAAGATTTTTATTGCTGGTAATTTTTTTTTTTTTTTTTTTTTTTTTCAAAAATGTATTGCTGGTAATATTTCTTTTTAAATATTCATAGTGTTTTGACCCAAGTTTGTGGGGTTAACTATTTTCTCAGAGCTGGGAACCTAACAGATGCTACCACCTCAGGTCAGGGTGGACCAAGGAGCACCAGCAATTAAGAGGTGATTCCATGCTCCTCAAAACCTAATCGATGGCCATGCTGCCAGATGTAGTTTATCATCATACCTAGGATGTAGTCAGTATGTTCTGAAGCCCCAGCTGACAGGATATTGTGATTGTTGTGATGGTGTATTTTGAAAACCTGCGTGAACGCTCTTTTATAATTTTTAATTTATCAGTTGTAGGTATGTTTTTTTTTTTTTTTTTTCTCAAGACAAGCTAACCAGAAATGATAAAAATGTAAAAATGCATTAAATGTTAGTCAAATGCACTTTAAAATGTTGCTACTACATAATATATTATAAGTGTAGCAGCAATATTTTCCTTAATAAGATTTCTCAAATATTCAAGTTGGTAGACAGAAACAAATAAATATACTGTTTAACAAATAAACAGTGTATATAAAAATATGAGTATTCACTAAAAATAACTTTTAAAGTGATAAAAATCTGATTGATAAATAAAATTCATTACCTTAGAATATGTACCAATATGTATTTTCTATTTCCACATCTTAAGATAGGTGTAATAAGGATTGAAATGTGACTGGAAGGTATTTTTGAGACCAGGACATTTCTTGTGATTTGACTTTCATTGTATTACATTATTGCGTTTTTGTTTTCTGCACATTTCAACACATACTCTATGCTGTTTTGTTTCATTGATTTAGTTTCCAATTTCCAATAGATGTTGGTTTCTCAAAATATTAGTTTTATTTTCTTTATTAGCTGTTTAGTGTTTTTATTTTTTAGGGATTTTTCATGTTCTTTTTTTTTTTTTTTCTGTCATCAGTCTTTTCAATTTTGAATTTTCATTCCACTTTTTTCGTCTTGTAACTTCAGAGATGATCTCCTGTGCTTCAGCTAAAGAAGTTATGATTGTATGATTCTTCAATGTTGTTTGAGTAAAAAATTTCAGGATATAAATTTGCATTTTAGTTTATCACAAAATACTTCCTTTACATCATCATTTTTAAGACCTTTGATATATTTAGTGATCGATATTTGTTTCTTTTTTTTTTTTTTTTGTTTTTTTTGTTGACATAAGGATAAGCTAGCTATTTTATTGGCTGTTTTTATTAGTTTAGTTACCATAAGTCTGTGAACTGATTCAACATAGGAATTATACACTAGAACATCTGTCACGAAATGTCTGAGCTAAGAATCTGAGAGGTTGAAATCAATAACCTTTTTGGTTATTTTATCTTTCACACATGTCAAATAATGTGATGTTTCATAAGATGATTAAACAATGTATTTAGGATTTTAATTTTTTTTTCTTTAATAACAAAAATTTGATGTCTTCTCACATTGATGTTTGAATTTTTGATTTCAATGAAAATATCTTTCCATTAAACGAACAATGGAGCTCAAAAACTCTTGAGATAACATTAAATTCATAAAAGTTAATTCTCTGTAGATGTTGTCTTTTTTGGCAGACAAACCCTTATTTTCGTTCTGGGTATGACGATAAACTACATCCACGTCCTGGGTAAGAGGATAAACTACATCCGACAGCAAGGCCTCTGATAATGTTTTTGAAAGAATAGTGTTGCTGGCTATACGTTTTTGAAAAAATTCTATTACCGGCTATACGTTTTTGAAAAAATTCTATTACCAGCTGTATATGTTAGGGCTCCAGCTATGGGGAAATATTTAACCCTCAAACTGGGGTCAAAACACTATGAAGGTGTAAAAATAGTTTTTAATACCAGAAATACTTTGTAAAAAAAAATTATTACCAGCAATAAATATTTGAAGAAAAAAATTATTCCGAGCAATACATTATTACCAGGAATACATTATTTGAAAAAAAAATATTACCAGCAATAAAAATCTTGTTGGCATTAAATAACTCATTGAGGTTGATATGTCGTGAAACAAAACAAACCATCCAAAAACCTCTCATCCACTCTCTTACTTTCCCCTTCAGTCAAAGTGTATGTCACTTAAAACATTTTTAAGAACCATCTGCTGCCTATTGAACAGAAACACTTGAAATTAAGACAAAACCATGTCTTACTTTTCTATGTTGGTTTCCATAGTATCACACAACTATATCAGCAGTTATCATTCTTCTTGTGTTAAGAAATTGGTCATTATAATGTCTTGATGATTTGCATATTACACTTTCAGACCAGTCCAATAGAAATCATACCCTAAGTGAAACAGTCACTGCTAAGACGATATACCTCTTGCATATAAACATCAAGATTTGCTTTGTTACATTTCTCTAGAATGAGATTTATTCTGAAATCATCTGAGCTTGATTGGACATTGATTTGTCCTATTTTCCATTTGAAGAGCTTTTAGTTAGAAATAAGCTCCTTTACCTACATAGTTTTTCAGACTGAGTGGAACAAATTGAAAAAAAGAAAAAGTAAAAGGTCCTTTTAAGGTATCAGTGGATGTTAGAAAAAAATAAATCAACAAGTTGGTAGTAAACACCAGTGAAGAAATGCATAAATATTTAGAAGAAAATCATTTTGATATCAACCAAAAGCATTGAAATCATTATCTTTCATTAGAATTTTTCTAAAGTCTCATCAGAACCAGCAAGCATATTATATCCTTAAAAAAATCTGATGCATCCAATACATTTTGAGAGCATCATTGTATGTTGGATATAAAAATTTCTAAGTTTACCATTTTTCCATGCTTTGAATATTGCTGCCATATATCGTCTGGTGCTCCTGCTGTATATTTAGAGATTCTTGATAAAATCGAAAGAATCTGCAATGTTATTGGTCCTGAACTGGCATCTTGGCTTCAATCACTTTCCCAACACCATAATGTGGTTTTACTGCCTTTTTTCTAAATACTTTCATGGTAGTTGTTCAGATAAACTTTCCTTTATGGTACTTAGACTTTATGAATTAAAGTGCAGTACTTGATTGGCAGTGAGGTCTTACCATTTTACAGTTGAAATGGTTAAATGTAAGTTCTATGTTAACAGTTTCTTCTATCTCACTTGTGGAATTTTCTTCTTGCTTTCAAGCCAACTTTAATATTCAAAAATTTAAATGCAATGTCAATCATTATTTTCTGTTTTTTTTTTTTTTTTTAAATTCTTGTCCTTTTATTGTACTCCCTCCTTTATAGTATGTTTTTCTCATTCTGTAATGCTCAGTAACCCTCTTGTGTCTTAGTGACGTTATTGCCTTGCTTGTGGGGAAAATGATTAAAAAAAAAAATTTTCAAATCTTTGCTTTTCTTCATTTTGCAGTGACATCCTGGTAACAAGTATAGCCAGTGAAATTACATATGAAAATCTGCGGAAAGAAATAAAGGAAATCTGTAATTTTCAGGCTGGTCAGTTATTTACGATGAAATGGGTTGATGAAGAAGGTAAGTACATAATTTTGGTGTTGACATATTTTGCGGCTAAATCAATACAGATTAATGTCACATTAATTGCCCTCCAACATTAAGACAATCAGAGATATGGTAGGCAAGAAAAATATATCAATGCATCAGATTTGATATAAAATGCCTGCAATGAAAAGCCTACATAGGCAAAATAATTGAAAATTTAAAAGCTTGCATCTATGCATATGAGAGAAACCTATGCTGGGACTCACTTGTAACACACAGAAACTGGCCATAACCACAACTTAAATAAACCAGAAAAGAACTTAATTTATTATGTAGAAAATACTCAGGGATTATAGATAAATATTTTACCATCTATAAACACATGTCAAACACACTTTATTATGTGACTAAATTTTATAAAATCCATACTTAAAGAATCTAAGATTTGTTTACTTACAGCCACAACTAGTGTAACTTAAATTCTTTCACTCTCACACAGAACATCCCCCCAATCAATGTTCAAACACTACCAAACACAAATAAAAATGCCCACTAGGCATTAAAATGCACACAATTTTTCAGCCAAATCCAGCAGAGACCAACTAGAATTGTAGCACACAAAAATTATATACATGAACGCTGCTTGACAGGACAAGTACACATGATGTCTGCTTAAACATGAGAAACAAATGACACAAAAATAAGATATATCAGAATTTTCTTTCTGTCTTCGTATTTTATTTTCTGATGAAGTTTATATAAAAAGCAAAACCTGTTAAATTTATAAACATTTCCTATTTGTTCTTTATCCTGTCATTTCGTGATTCAATGTAATATTGTTTCTAATTTTCTGGTACATAGGTGTACACACACACACACACACAATGTGGTACCTAAAAGTTCTTGCCCTAGTCCACCTCCCAAAATTGAATAAACATTAAATTTTTTTTTTTTTTTTTTTCTTAATCTTGAAAACTTTTCAGCACTTCTTTCTGGAGTAGAACAACCAGTTAAAGTGATTTGTACTTATATACTCCTGGTCAGAATGAGACACATCATCCATTTGTGTTGAAAATACCACAGTATTTTTAGAAATCAGTGATACTATGTTTGATTCACAAGAAAGAGGTGGAGAAAAACAAATGAACAGTAAAAATTTCACTTTCAGCTACTTCTCTAGCCATTATCAAGGATGTGTTTTTGGATAGGGAAATTGTATGTGTGTGTGGCTGCTTACATAGTAATTTTACACACTGTACTTGGAACAATTATAACTATGGACAATTGCTATATTTTTTAACATGTGAAAAACAGAAAATGTTAGATTGCAGGGAAAAACTCAAAAGATTAATTAAATCTTCTTTGTCAACCATTTTCAATCTAAATATGCATCAGTATATATGTGTGTGTGTGTGTATATATATATATATATATATATATATATATACATTTTTTTATGTTTATACATTCTTTTTTATAGATACAAATATTTAAGTAAATGCTCTGTTTATAATAAACCGTATTAACAACATTTACTGGCCTGAATGTCAGAAATTTTTATAGAAAATATGCATCCTCTGACAGGAATTGAATCTGTATCCTATACGGAACCGTCATATAGCCTGATGTGCTTTTACTGATTGAGCAACAGAGGAGCATTTCAGTTAGCAAGGTTGATTTTACTGTTTTTAAACTCCAATTCTCCACGATTTTCTCTCATACATTCATATCTGCTCAATGCGTATCCAAATGTAGACAAATGATGTCACATATTATGAAATGGACAAAGTCCGACAATTATTTTAAGACATTTTTAACATAAAAAAGCAAACATAAAACGCACACACACTGGACTCTCCTGTTTTCAACATATGAGGGTCAAGCAGCTCATTTCTTAGAATCAATAGCCAGACTACCCACACATATCATCTGATTATAGTAGTGAAGGCTTGTGCAGAACCAAGCACACTCTTTTTGAGGAAAGAGCCAAATGCAGGGAACTGGTGCACAGTATGCCACAAGGTCTCCAAATGACCCTCCACAGGTTTTGAATTTAGAGTTGTCTTTTTCTGAGAGTGTTCACCATTCAAGGCTATAGAACTCAGAAGAGATGAATTCATACCTTTCTCAAGGGCATTAGCATGTAAGTGAATGTGTTGAACTCAACTGGAATGTTTTTGTGATGTCAAGGAACACTTGTTACTCTTTTGTAATGCCAACAAATACTCATTGTCACTTTTGTAATGCTGGTTTTAGTAGACTTTGGAATTGCAGATACAACTATAGTAATGCTGTTGAACAATACCAGTGTCAGACGCCTTCAAATAACACTCACACTAATAGTACTTTCTTGATAATACTGGCTTGAAAAGTAACCACCAAATAGTAATTCGTATAGCGATCAGTTTAGGGAAATAGTATAGTGAATAGTATAGAGCTAGAGAAGGGAGTGTAGAAAAAGTGATCCGTATAGTAAGAGAATAGAAATAGTGATCAATTGGACGCCACTCTAATTCCCATATATACATTTCTTTTACTATCATGTGATCTACTTATTCAAAATGGTTTCACCTGTGTTGGCAGTGACACTTTATTCCTATATAACAAATGTGAACTCGGCTCCTTGATTCCTCAATCTGAGCTGCTCTCTATTACTCTTAATTTAATTACTTAATCTAATTACTTAATATAATTACTCCACCATGCCTCCATTGAGGTATCAGAGCTGAGTTCATATTCCAGTCGAGTTCATTACATTCGCTTGTATATCTGTTATGGTGACCTATCTACATTAGGATGAACTCTTCCTCCTTCATAAATACTAACCTGCAAGACTTCCTAGGCAGGTAGTTGGGACGCAGTGTAACCTGATAGTTTGGACAGACACTCCTATCTGCTGACTAATAACATCCTTATTTTGTATATATGTTCTGTTATTTCAATACACTTGTTCAACCTACCTACCTTCTTTCCGTGTTTTTCTTTCTGGTCCCTAACAGGCCACAACAATATTTGAGAGAGAGATATAGATCTTGTCTTTATTCCTAATGTCTTTTTAGATATATTTTTTATTTATATCTGAATTTTTAGATACTTTAAATTAAAGAAATAAGATAACCAACCTCAAGAGAAAACATAAACAAAAATTCTAAATAAATAAACAAATTAAGTAAAGAATTAAACCACAGATGAACACATAAACATAAGTAAACCAAGAGTAATTAAATAATCAATAATAATTAAGAAAAAGTTAACAAAACACCTCATTCAGATCCACAATTATTTCTACACAATAAACGCTAGAATAATTTGAAACATAACTGTCACTATCCACCCAATAACTATCAGGATAATACAACAGACCTTACTACCCATAATGCACCACTGACCAGCATATATAGATAGTCAAGCCAAAACACAATACACATGGCCTGAATATTGTGTTGAAGCATGAAACAATGTTGCTTCTTGGTGTTGACCTCAGTATCCACTTTTATATTTACATATGGTCTATCTCTGATATTGAGCACTTTTACTCATAGAGTAAACATTAAAACTATATATATATATATATATATATATATATATATATATATATATATATATATATATATTTATTTAACTATAAATAGTCAGTTAAGTGCCACATGTGATACATGCTTGGGTGATCATTTATCTTTCAATACATGACTGAGGTGGTTGAAGATTTTTTCCTGCAGTAGACTGGTTGCCAACCAAGGCTAAAGAATCCAGTCTGTCCTGCTATTCAACCCATAGCTGGAGGAGGGAAATATGAATTCATACCTTACCCAAGGGTATTTGTGCATAAGTGAATATAACAAACGCCACAGGAATTCAAACTGGGCTCTGAGTTCTCATTCCTGTAAATAGAGCAAACCTTAAAACTGTGTGTGTGCATGAGAGTGAATAATTGCTTTTCTTTTGAGATAACCATTTATTTTGGTACCAATTTTGAGGGAAGAAAGCAGACAAGTTTTAATTTTTAGCTATTTGCCCAATGTTATCATATTGGTGTGAAAAGAGATGTGCAGTTATCTAGATACCATGTAAAAGATGTCTTCCAGAATCTAAGCAAAATATTAAGACATAAGAAAATATTAGAAATAAGCTGAACTACTATATAATATCAAATCTTTATATGGGAGTGACTGTCAGACAATTTCTCATAGATGCAAAGTCTTGAAGCAGTAAATGTGGTTTTCCTGAAGAAAGCTAACAATAACATGGACAAAACATATAAATAATGAGGAAGTTTTAAGGAAAAAATAAGCAACAAGTATCTTACATTTACAATCAGAAAATAGGCAGTTGAAATTTCTGCCAAACATAATGAGGAAAGAGGATCTAGAGAAATTAACACTCACAGGGCATAATGAAGGCAGAAGCAGCAAGGAGCTGGTAGGGAGTTCCACGAACAAGAAAATAATCTGTTAGCATAAAACTTATGGCTACATCTAACCAGCTCAACTGTAAATTGATGAAATCTTGATGTCAGTCTTGTACTGCACTTAAATTCAAGAAGTCTAGGTACTATAGCGAAGAACTCATCTGACTAATTACCAAGAAATTAGTTATAGAAAAGACATAAAGAGGCAACCTTACAGTGCTGGGAAAGTGACTGAAGCCGTGCTGCTAGATCAGGACTGATATTATTGCTGATTCTTCTTTGGATTTCATCAAGGAGTTCAAGGTAAATAACAGGGACACTGGACCATATGTGGCAGCAATATTCTAAAGGAGTACTTATGTTATCAAATATATTTTTTTTGTGCTTTGCTAACACTTGTATCATATAAATTTATAATAATGTTGATGCTGCATGTATTGTATATGCTGATACTAAATATAGGGAAAACAAACTTGCATGCCTGCATTCAGACAGTGTGTCAAAAGGATGGTTTTTCCCTTGACACCACTATTATTTTAACTACCTTCCCTCCTTGGCAATTTTTATTGTTTTAAAAAGTGATGATTAGAATTGTAATAAAACCTAAACATATGAGGAAAGTGAATTTAGACATTTTTTTTTTTGTTCTTGAGAATTTACAACAAAAATATTAAACACTATTAGATTGTTTATTTAAAAAAAATAATTTTATATTTACAACATTTAAAAAACTAATACAATTAAAACTAATGCAATGCAATATTTATCATTTACCAACTTATAAAGAAATGTATATAATATGGAAACAATTTTTATTCATAAATTTATAAACATTTACTAAATTATTAAAATAGGTGAACCAACTATAAGGAAATCATTATTATTTACCATTTTATAAAATTTGGATCAATTGGCAATTAGCTGATGTTTATCAACCATTCCATTAAATAGTGTTTTCTATTTTTGCTGTCAATTCTCAAGAACAAAGATGTGTAAATTCACTTTTTTATATATTTAGGTTTTATTAGAATTCTAATCATCGCTTTTTAAAACAAACATTGCCGAAGAGTGATGGTAGTTAAAAAAAAAGAAGCCATATAATCTGATGTTTAAAACCAACCCATGCAATGATAGGTGGTTTAAATTTTACCAAGAACAAGCAGTTATTTTTGCCGGTGTATTTCTCTGTCTTTTTTCACACACACACGCATTCATGAACATATCAAAACAGTAAAAGAGCAATGTGGAAAGAGGGTTTGGAAAATTTGATACTCACAGGACAGATTGAAGTTAAGAGACAGGAAAATAACACATAACTTACCTAGTGTGCTTGGGTAAATGGATGGTGGAACAAGGTTTAGGAGATATAAAAAGGCAAAATTTATTAGAGCTACAAACACTGGAACTTGTGGAGAGCCATGATTGTCAACATCCTGAAGGGACACAGCACATAGAAGAAAATTCAAAGCATTGTTTAATACACATGGGTATATATAAGCAATTTAGCATTTTACTTAGCCTGGAACTAGCCTCCCTTTTATTTTAGCTAAAAAAGAATGAAATAAACAGAAGTGCTACTCTCCAGCCATCTTCAGGTGTATGTTGTCATACTAGGCAACCTTAGAATTTTGTACTGAACCCTTTATTTAATCCATGTGAGTTGATAGTTCGAAAATACCTCATCTCAGAGATATAGACAAAGAACAGTTATCCTCATCTTCATTGCCATATTAATATTTCAGCCATTGTACACACTCACCATCTTCAGGTGATTAGAATTTCGAAACAAACTCTTTATTTTATCCAGCAGGGTAGATTGTTCTAGTTCCATGTGCCATGCCTCTTCTGGATGTTTATTTCCCTTTAACTCAACTCTCCAAGTTTTGGTTCATATAATAGTAGCCAGTAAAGATCTAATCAGCTTTATTTAATCAAATTTATTTTCTGTGTTCTTGTAATACATCAGCAAAAATTTTAAGTACATTGCTTTTATAATATTCTTACTTACCTCTCCATTTAAAATTCTTAAAGTGATTAATATATATCATATATGTCTATCAAAGTGTTGTAATTTTGTGTACTATTTTTGGATTGCAGGTGATCCATGTGTATTGTCCTGTCAGGTAGAACTTGATGAAGCTATACGTTTGTATGAATTAAATAAAGATTCTGAACTCACCATCCATGGTAAGTATTTTCCCCCTATATATATATATATATATATATATATATATATATTCAATAAACATTAAAATCCAGAATTACCTCATATATCAATGGGTTTGCAATATGAGGTAATTTTGGATTTTATTATTTATTAATTATATGGATCTGTATTAATAAATACATTGAGCTATTTTTCTGGATCAGTTTTAATATTTTATATTACTAGGATTATATACCAACAGATTTGTTTTTACTTCATATATATATATATATATATATATATATATATATATATATATATATGTGTGTGAACATTGAAGTCAACAGGCTGTTTCATGCGAGATGCAATCATCAGGCAGCCTGATGATTGTGTCTAACATGAAACAACCTGTTATCTCAAAGTGTTGACTTCAATGTTCACTTTTATATTTCCTTATGCTCTATCTCTGATATTGAGCACTTTATCCCATAAATATAGCACACCTTAAAACTAATATATATATACACACCTATGCATACACACACACACACACACACACACACACACACACACACACATATCCTATTGGTGTACTTGATGGGAGAGCAAAAATATATTGGTTTTATCTATTTTCCAAGCTTCACTGTAGGCATTAGTCTATGATATATTAATACCTTAGCAAGATGAAGGAAGGACTAGAATAATATAGAGATTAACTCCATAAATGAGTTCCACACACACACACACACATACATATATATTTCTTCATCAAGACATTCATTTCTATAGTTCACTGCTATCAGCAAGCAGAAAATTTTTGATGGCCATGTTGGCCAAAACTAGTTGAGGAATCTAAATGAAATAATAAAAATGAAAGAATATTAATATACAACCCAGTGTGTCTGAAGATTTTAATTTTTTGATAATTTTTATTGTTCAAAATATATATATGTGTGTGTGTTTGTAGAACATGATAATCCAAATACCAAGTACTTTAACTGACTTCCTATGATCCAAAATGTTTCAGCTTTAGATATTCCAGAAAGGCTTGAGATGCCATAAAAAAAAAAAAATCAATAAATCTTGAAACTCGACAGCTGATGATGTGGGTACAACATTCAATACAACTGCAGTCAACAAGATATGCCAAGCATAACAACTGGCAATGAGAAAATTATATGAAATTATTATTTTTTATCTATTGTTGTTCTGTTTGAGAACTTTTCAGCACCTCCTTTTCTTAGACTATACTCTGTGCAGTTACAAACACAGATGTGAAGAGATAGACACTGATCATCTTAGCATTTCATACCTCATCGTAAATGACTCTACCAATAGAAGATCACGATCCTGCTTACCCCCTCAAGGTCAATGTACTGATTATTAGTGTGGCAATGACGATGACATAGCTATTTTATTCAAAAATTGATATGGTAGCTCACTTCCATAACGAAATAAACAAATTGCAAGTCCAAACTTGAAGATCCGTGGCAGAAAGAAATGACAAAATCACAGGTTCAACATCATGAATCTCAACACATGTAAACTGTCAGAAATCCAACACGCAAGTCGACTGCTGAGGAAGAAAATAAAATGACCTCCTCAGTTTGTGAACACCAACCACTTTTAGCAATGGAACAATTTTTTCATTGGTCAATAGGTGGGAGAGGACAAACAATATTAGCATATCCAAAATGCATTTATGGCAACACCTGCAACTGACTTGTTTCTATTTTGTTTATGTTTTCTTCAGCGTATCGAACAGGGCACATGTGCCCTTTTTCTCAGTAAGTGACATTCTCTTTAGCATAGTTAATGAATACTCTATCATAGTTAATGAATACTCCATCTAGACACACATAGACAGTGACTTAAAAGAAGTGACTATTTCTTTTCTTTGCTTCATATTCCTAGAGTTAACAGAGGAAAAACCTATTACAAACCTCTCCCCTTTTGCAATAGAGGTATCTCTCAGCAAATGTCATACCTAAATCTGTAAAAACAACCTACAACAACACTCTAATTGTGGAAGTAACAAAAAAGAAATATGCTAAATTATTATGAAAAACGACCACCCTCCACACTAGGTAGAGTGTGGTCATTTGAGGGTGGTCAATCAAGGCACATCTACACAGATCCCTCAACAGACCTAGAGGAGTGGTGAGAAGTCTTGAACAATCAGCCTGTACAAGTGAAGAAATAAAAATCAACTTAAAAAAATATTGGATGCAAAGAATAAGAAACAACCAGTTAATTGAAACCAACACTTACATTCTCACTTTCTTAAAAACTTAAAATTGGCTACATGATAGTGAAGGTTGACACATACATCTCCAATCCACTCTGATAAAATTGTCAAGTTTTGGCGCCATGAAAGCTGTTGCACCAAAAATTTGGAGAGGATGGTTCTGACCACTCAGAAGTCACATGCAAACTGCAATGGAGACCACCCTGCTGGCTCAAGACTCTGCAGAGCATAAAAAAGAGATAATGAAAATTAAATACAAGACATCCATTTTACAGAAGAATGAAAAACTGTAGAGACAACTATCCCAGCTCGTTCCTTCTCAAGAGTAACGCAACTTACACAAAACCCTTCTCCAGAATGCCAGAAGTTCAATCTCCTTATAGAAAAATTACTAAATCTGAAACTGGATGAATTTCCAAACCTTCTGAAGGAGCTACAGGCTTCCATACTCCAAACTAAACAAACCTTTTTTTTTTAAAAATCCAACATTAACAGTAAAACCTACTCAAAAAGAGCAAATGACAGCACCATCATCCTCCTAATCAGGAAAACCCTCTCAAGATATCCAAGAAGTTCCCACCCAGACCATCAAAATCTCCAACAAAACCACCTCTCTCTATGGAAACCTCACTGATACTGAAAAAGAGAACCCTAAGAACACAAGAACTGCCTGAACAAAAATGTCAAGACAAACAATGCCAATGATCTCACTCCAGACACAAAACCTAAGAAAGTATAACTTCCAAGGAAACTCTGGAAAATCATAACAAATACTCCAAAGCAAAAAATAATCTGAACACTAATCTACAAGCAATAGCAGCCAAAACAACCCTACACAAATCTATCAATATTTGCTTCCTATACAGCCCACCACATGAATCAATCAACAAAATTGAGCTTAACAACTTAATACAACAATTTCCCAAGCTTTTTTATCTTGCTGGGAGATTTCAACAGCAGCCATGATATTATATGGTGATGTAAAGATACAAACAAAAAGGGCAGAATACTTGAAAGGAATATCAGTAATAATAATCTATGTCTCTTAAATAAGAAATCCCAAACATATCTTAATCCATCTTCAGGCACCAACTCAGCAATTGGTCCTCAAATCTTCCTGGACTCTACCTTGAGAGTACACAATGATTCAAGTGGCAGTGACCATTTCCCAATTGAGGGTCTACATCCTGATGAAGAAAATTTCCCCAAATGGAGGCTAAACAAACTGGGAAAAATTTCAAACACTGTCTATAACACCTGATAAAAAAAGCACAATACCAATAACTGTTGATGATTTTATAAACAAATTTATTGATATAGCATCCCAAAGAAGTGCATCCCAAAGAACTCAGCTCTGTAGAAATGGTATAGACCTTGGTTGGATAAAGAATGCAAGACTATCCATTTACAATGAGCAGCTCTGCACAAATTTAAATCTTCTCCTACAACCACCAACCTAATCTCATTCAAATGCTACAAATAATCCAGAAATCCAAGAGAAACTCCAGGTAAAATTGTTAGTAAGCTCAATGCCTCTGCTAAATGAAAAATAATTTGGAAAATGATTTGCAAAATCTCTGGGGAAACAACTCCCCTCAAACACCTCTCCATAAACCATAGCAAAATAACTGCCAAAAAGGATATTGCTGATCTATTAGCCGAAACCTCAAAAATTTCATCCAACCAAAATAACCAACAATTACATGAAATGCTGAAAAAGTTAAACTACAATTCAAATCCAATAACTTAGAAGCATATAGCTGTTCATGGCTGCTTGAGACAATTGCTTCGTCCACTGCAAGGAAAGTTGGCTCCTTGTGCCATGCCAGGAAATTTTTCTCCCCAGAATCGATCCTTCAAATCTACAAATCAACCATTCGCCCTTGCATGGAGTATTGCTGTCATATATAGTCTGAAGCCCCTACTGTTTGCCTCAGGGTTCTTGATAAGATCCAGAGATGGATATGCAATATAATTGGCCCCGATCTGGCATCTTGTCTGCAGTCGCTCTCTCACAGGTGTCGTCGCCTCTCTCTGTCTTGTTTACAAATACTTTCATGGTAATTGCTCCGATGAGCTGCTTTTGCTGGTTCCCAGACTTCATGAATTCTGGCATTCCACTCTCACCCTTTCACTGTTGAAACTGTTAAATATAGCTGCCTCTTCTACTCCAATAGCTTCATATCTTGCACCTCTCACCGGTGGAACTCCCTTCCCTATTTCTGTTTCCCTGATAGCTATAATCTCCAACTATTCAAATGTAATGTCAATCAACATCACCAGTTGCCTTGATCTATCCACTATCTCCCTCCTCATTCTTTCCTCTATCATTCCTACCTGCTCTCACTCCAAATCCTCTATAACCCCTTGCATGCTAGTGGCTTCCTACCTTGCTTGGAGTGAAATGCTTAAAAAAAATATCAGAACTAATGAACTCCATAAAAAAAATCACACAGTAAGCTGTCAGTCCAGATGAAATACATTACAAGTTCTTAAAACCAAAGAATCTATAATGTATCTTCTGGAGGTTTATAATACTATATGGACGAGCAATAAATTTCAAGATACATGGAAACAGATGGTAGTTATTCTCATTCCTAAAAATGGAAATGATAGTACAATTTCAGATAACTACCATCCCATTTCTCTGACGAGTTGCCTATGCAAGACTATGGAACATATAATCTGCAACAGACTTATATGGTTCCTAGAATCAAATGGACTAAGCACAGATCTTCAATTTGGATTCCATAAAGAAAAGAGGAATTATAGAAACTTTGGTTTATTTAGAGACATTCATAAGGGAAGCTTTTATAAAAAAGGAGTACCTGACAGCAATCTTTTTTGACTTAGAAAAACATGGAAGTATGACATTATGAGGGACCTACACAATCTGGGCCTAAAAGGAAGACTACTGGGCTTCCTAAGCAACTTTTTTTCATATAGAAATTTCAAGGTTCATGTTGGATTCACCCTCTTTGACCTCTACAACCAAGAGGAAGGGATCCCACAATGAAGTATCGTCATGGTAACCCTCTTTAGTATAAAAATCAACAGCATCATTAAATCTTTAAATCCTGGAACAAGGCAGTGCCCTGTATGTTGATGATTTCTTGATATGCTACAGATCCAAAGACATCTGCATGTTAGAACGTCAACTACAATTGAACATGAATGAGATCAATAAATGGGCAATAAACAAGAGTTTCAAATTCTCCAAACCAAACCAGTGTACGCAATGAGGAAAATACACAATGACCAGTCATTAAACTAAAAGGAACTAAAATACCTGTCATTGGCAATTATAAATTCCTTGGAGTTATATTTGATAGAAAATGGACTTTCATCCTACATATTAAACACCTGAAATCAAAATGCAACAAATAATGACAGATGTTAGGAGTAGTGTCCCACACAGAATGGGGAGTCTATTGGCAAACCCTGCTAAAATTATATAGGTTATAAGTCCGCTCACAACTAGACTATGGTAGCTTCATGTACAGATCAGCCAGGAGATCAAAGAGCTAGAGCCTATACACAATGAAGGTTTAAAACTCATCTTAGGAGTCTTCAAAACTTTTCCAGTGAAAAGCTTACAACTCAGAAACTAAAAAACTTGTTCTCCAATTCTATGTAAAACTTACATCCTAGCCATTCAATCTATGTTATGATTTCACCTTTAATCCAAAGTATACCATTTGAAAAAAAGAAAAGAAAAAGCAATAAAAACTTTTGGCTTCTGTATAAAGAAGAATCTTTGAAAAATCCCAAATCCTTCTCACCAATTGAAATGATACTATCTTATCTATCCACTATCTTCCTAACTCCACCTTGGACTATTAGATAATTGGAGGTGATTCTGGGTCTCTGTAAGCTTCCTAAAATGAACTCCCACCCTATTATTTATCAAGCAAAGCTCCAGAATATCATGGAGCATTATCTCAATCACTCCTATGTTGTTTCCAAAGAATCCAAAGATAATGGTAAAACTGCATGTACATCTGTACTAAACAAGAAAATTGCCAAGAGAGATCTTGCAAAAGAAACCTCCTTTTTTAGTCCAGAAGTCTATGCAATAGGCCTAGCGTTTCATGGCAGTCAAATCAGCACTAAAAATGGCCCCAGATAGATTCAAAATCCCATATACAGATCTGAAGACCAAAATCACTATGTTCTTCCATAGAAAATGACAATAAAATTGGGGTAACAGCATACATAACAACTTCTCAATAAAAGCAAATAGAGGAGAATAGAAGCAAGAAGAAAGGGTTAGTCATCAATTGCAAGAATCCTGAATGCCTAATTGTTAGCAAAAGGAACAGCCCAATATGCTAATTTCAAATTGGAGCTACCAAAATCAAGCAAGTACAACAATTTAAATATCTAGGAAGTGTTTAAACAGAGGACCGGAAGTGGGTTACTGAAGCCCGAAGGAGCATTGGGATAGTGAAAAATGCTTTCCAAAAGCTAAGCAAAATATTGAGAAAGAGGAAAATTTTGTTAGAAACAAAGAAAAGTGTACTGAACTATTATGTAATATCACTGCTCCTATATGGCAGTAAATGCTGGACAATCTCATCAGAGATGAAGAATAGACTTTAGACAACAGCAATGTGGTTCTACAGAAGGATGTTGAGACTATGGACCAAACAAATGTGAGCAATGATGAAGTTCTGGAGACAATCGAAATTAAACCAAAAAACAGTTATACTCAATATCAGAAAGCCAGTTGCAATTTCTATATATATGTATGAGGAAAGAGGGCTTGGAAAACTTGGTACTCATGGGATATTGAAGGGAAGAGGGACAGAGTGAGCTTGAGTGACTGAATAACAGATCAGGTTTTGGGAGAGATAGCCAAAAGACAAAATTTGTTAAGCGCTACAAAGAACTGGAAATTGTGGAGAGCCATGATAGCCAACATCTTCAAGGGACATGGCGCATAGAAGTTTTTAGGATAAATTCTATGAGGAACTGATTCAATTCCCAAAATCAGATCCAGCAACAGAATTATTTTTTCTTTTTAAATTGCTTCTTAGTCTACAAATTTTCAGCACCTCTGCCTTTTGTAAATATTTTTGGTGAACAGTTTTAATTACTATAGAGAATTGGTTGCTAAGTTGTTGTTTAGTATTTGTTTCAATATCAATTCTATTCTCATGGTGTTAATTTTATTTTTATCTCAGTATTTCCTAACGTCCCTGAAAAACCTGGTATGCCATGTATCGGAGAAGATCGTAAGTTTCTGCGTTAATTTTTGTTACTTTATTTTGTAAATGTGTAAAATTATTTTTTTTTTTTTTATGATGTTCTCACAAAATATTTTGCTTTTGAAATGCACGTAATTACCTCTGTCAGATTTGTTTGTTGCATTTCCTAACAATTGAATAGGATAAGATACCTTCTCGAAGCTAAACAAACTATTGAGAGATAGGAAAAATTTGTTAACATTTTAACTTTTTTATTTATTTCTGTGTAATATTAATCCTCCTATATGGTAGTGAATGCTGTACAATTTTCTCACAGATGAAGAGGAGGCTTGAAGTGGTTGTGTTCTAGGAATTTCTCGCTGAACTTGATTCAAAGAGTAGCTTGTTTTAATTCTGATGTCCATGTTAGGGGACGTAACTCATATCAATAGAAAAAAAAAACAAAAATATAATAGTAACATTACTAGGATGATTAATAGATACAAGATATCCAGATATAAGGTGTGGAATGAATACAATCTACTCCAGGTTCAAAGTTTCAAGAAGTTTCTTTTTATAGAAAAAGTTAGATTCACTGGTCAAAATGTTATGATTATCACAACCAAGATGAAGATATGAGTTAAAATAGATTTATATGTAATATTTAATAATAATAATAGATTTATATGTAATATTTAATAATAATAATAGATTTATATATAATAATAATAATAATAGATTTATATAAATAATAATAATAATAATTTATATAATAATAATAATTTATATATAATAATAATAATAATAATAATAATAATATTTATATGTAATATTTAATAATAATAATAGATTTATATAATATTTAAATAATAATAATAATTTTATATAATAATAATAATAATATTTATATATAATAATAATAATAATAGATTTATAAATAATAATATTTATATATAATAATAATAATAATAATAATAATAGATTTATATAAATAATAATAATAATAATAATAATAATAATAATAATAATAATAATAATAATATTTATAATAATAATATTTATAATAATAATAATAATAGATTTATATAATAATTATAATAATAGATTTATAATAATAATAGATTTATATAATATAATAATTATAATAATAATGATAATAATAGATTTATATAATGATAATAATAGATTTGTATATAATAACAATAGATTTATATATAATAACAATAATAGATCTGTATATAATAATAATAATAATATATGTAATAATAGATTTATATATAATAATCCCTCTGGCATCTAAGAACTTGGACAGAATTTAATTATTGTTAATGAGAATTTTTAAAATTTAATATTTATATAACTGCATTTTATATATAATGTTAAAAAAGTAATTTTTAATAACCTTTTCATTGTTCATGATATATTTATATCATATAATAATAAACAGTGTAACATTTTTCTGTTTAGTTCTCTCTCTATAACAATAGACTTGCCTGTTGTTGGGCAATTATTAGCAACATGGTCTCACTATTAAGTAATGGGAAATTTTTAACAGCAATATGCTCATCACTACTTCAAGTGATCAAGCATTCTAATCATAGAATTTTAAAAAATTATGAAAAGTATTATAAAATTTTGCTACAACATTTTGCAGTAAAGCCTCTAAGTCACAGGGGTGTTACAAGGTTTGGAAGATTTAGGAACAGAAACATTAGAAAGTTGAAGAGTAATCAGGAGGACAGTAGATAGTGATTGACATTGTATTTAAATTTTTGCAGATTAAATTTGGATAAAAAGTATGGAACGTGGAAGAGAGTTCCACAAGCAAGAAGTGTGAGAAAAGAAACTGTTAGCATAGAACTTATGGTTACATCTCGCCAGCTTAACTGTAAATTGATGAGATCTCAAGTCCAGTACTGTGCTTAAATTCAAAAAGTTTAGGTACTATAGCAAAGAGCTATATTTATTCTGTACAATACAGAAATGTGGCACAAGGCCGAAATAGGGGAATGGGGAAAGGACGGTCTTCTTCTGTCTTAACTATAACTTAGCTAGCCGCAAACACTGACCCAATCGTACGAAACAATATTCCTTACACCAAAACAACACATTCATACGTACCTTTCTTACTACAACCACCATAATACCTCTGTCTCTATGAAAATACGAACTAGTCCCCATATTTACAATTCGATGTCTGTGGGGGGAGAGGGGAATAAAAACAACAAATCTAAAAGTTAACCCCAATAGCAAAGAGCTCATCCAAACATTTACCATGAAAGTATTTATAGAAAAGGTGCAGAGAGGCAACCTTATGGTGGTGGGAAAGTGACTGAAATTGAGTTGAAAGATCAGGACCAATAATATTGCTGATTCTTCCTTTGGCTTTTATCAAGGAGCTCAAGGTAAATAGCATGGGCACCGGCCCATATGTGGCAGCAATATTCTAAGCATGGATGAAGGATAGACTTATACATATGCAAGATAGATTCTGGAGAGATAAATTTTCTTACATGACACAGTGAACTGACTTTTTTAGCAGCTGACCTAGAAATGAATTCATGTAAATGTTATATAGTTTCTATTGTGAAATTTAATCAGGAATACTCAAATATATCTTTAATTTTTTTTTGCATACATAGTAGATTCTTAATATTTTTTTTGAACATGAATAAAAACATAACATATTCAATTTTATTGTATAGTTTTTATTTGTTTTTTCTATTTTACAATTTCCATACCTGACCGAATGTTTCTTTATATTCAACTTAATTTTTATTATTACTTTTCTGGTATTACTTAAAATAATTGGTTTACTAAATTACTATGAGAAAACTTTTGTCTCTTTATTTTAACCAGGTAATATCTACCGTAGAGGCGCCAGACGTTGGCGGAAGCTGTACAGAGTTAACGGACATTTATTCCAAGGAAAACGGTTCTCTAAGGTAAGTTTGTCAGTAGCTCATTCCATTGTAATAAAATTAAATTCTTTTAGCTCAAAATATTCAATCACTGGTTAAAATAAAATGTAACCATTATCTAGTTCAGTGTTTCTCAACCTTGGACCAATTTTAAACTTTGCTAATTTTTGGTGGACCCCCATAATCATTTGATGAAAAAAAAAAGCTTATTTTATTTTTTAATAATAGATAATTTTAAGAATTGCATTATAGAAATATAGAAATAGTTGTCCTGGGTATGACGATAAACTACATATGGCAGCAAGGCATATGTTTGGGAGGCTTTGAGGAGTGTGGAACCACCTCGTAATTGCTGTTGTTCCCAGGTTCACCCTGACCCATGGTGGTAGCACCTGTTAGGGGTCCCAGCTATGGGTAAATAGTTAACCCTCAAACTGGGATCAAAACAATATAAAAGTATAAAAGTACCAGCAATTCATTTTCATAGTTAAAAAAAATTACCAGCAATACATTTGTTGTAAAAGAAATTACTAAAGCTCCCAAGAAAATTAAATTTTGGCATTAAATAATCCATAAGGAGTTGATATGCTGTGAAACAAACAAACAATTATAGAAATAGTAAATACATACGAGTCATTCCATATCAAATCAACAATGGTCTGACCATCATTGACACAGATTTTTTTCAAATTTGGTGAACTTATAGAGCTCCATGATACAAATTGAATGGTATCTATTTTGCATCTCTAGCTCAAAGGGTTCCTGAGATATGATCCTTTGACAAAAAGGTTTAATTTTGGAAAATAGTCACAAAGTTTAAGTATCTGTATCTGTTTTTTCACCTACAAAGCTAAATTGTATCCTATTTCAAAGTACTTGGACAGATCTAAAAGGTGGTTTATTTATCTTTTTGTTTTATGGTCAAATAACATAATTTGACCGTGACCTTATCTTTTGACGTTTAATTTCGCAAAAAAAAAAAAAAACGGATCTTTAATTTTTTTTTTTTTTTTTTGACAACAAATTTTATTCCTAATGGCAAGATATGTACAGAATTTTGTGGTGGAATTTTGACTGTGGCCTGAATTAAAGGGGTTTTACTGAGTTGAGCCAAATTCAAAATGGTTAACTTTGGTATTTGCCACTATATGCTAACATTTCTTATCTTCCAATATGGTCAAGTTGTATATCTTTAGAAAGCTCTTTGGATGCTGATTTATATTCACATAAGAACTATGATCATAAAATCAACAGAATTCGTGTTATTTGTAGTTAAATGTTGACCAATTTAATAGAAAATAAACAGCCTTATTTTTGGTTTTGTTTACATTTTTATTACACAACAAATAGGTTTTTATATGAAAATGTGACAATGAAAATAATTTAAAAAAGTGTCATGAATTAATGTTAAGATAACATAAAATAATATGAAAATATGCAACAAATGATGTCAACAGATAAATTTTTGTTGACATTTGTCATGGTACACTAAATGGACAAAACAATCAAATTTTAAATTTTTTTTTTTTTTTTTTTTTCAAATTTAAAAAATTAAGTTTTGATCTGAAATAGTGATACATTGAAATAAATATTTAAAAAAAGATTCTAAAAATTTACAAAGAGATTAAGAAGCAAACTTATTTTTCTGCTTGTTGGAATACATGTTTAAATAAAAATTTAGATATGCAAACCACTTACTTTTTCATTCAACTTTGTTGTGATATTAACTGATGTTTAATTGGAGATCAGCAGACATTGTGAACTGATAACTTAAAATTTTCCCAATGATATGGGCATTATTCTTTTAGGATTTGAGTCTAATTGACATTGTCCATTCTAGGACGCATGAAGTTACTATTTACTAGGATTCATGAGGTATTATTTCTTAGAGTATTTGCCTGTTAAATCTTCATAGCTTGTTCTCAAATTAGAAAATGGTGAAAGAGGCTAACAACTTAACTGCAAGGAATGCACAACTTCAATCATACTGTTAAAAAAGATTTAATTTCAGAACCCAACATTTGCTTTATTTCTCTTTTTTTGTTTTTGTAATCTAAGAGTTAAAATATCCTTATTTTTTTTTTTTTTTTATAGTATTTGTCTAGAAGATGAAAACTACCCTTTAAAAATATTAAAATTTTCTTGCTTTTAGCATGCAAATTTGTGCAACCTTTTCTAATATTTATGGTTAATCTGAAGCATTTTTCAAGTTTTTTTTTTTAAAGCATAAATCTTAGAAATGACTTATAACAAATATTCAGCTAGAAACTGTTGTCAACCTGTTTTATCTCTGATATTATTCATTTTCAGAAAGCTATCTGCTACTTTTGTTCTGATCGGATTTGGGGTCTTGGTCGCCAAGGATACAAATGTATTAACTGCAAATTATTAGTTCACAAACGGTGCCATAAAATGGTAAAGCAAGCTTGCGGAGATACTGTGGTAAGTATTACCTCTCTGTAAACACAATTTGTTTTTTGTAAATATTTATGTAATTGTCTTTTAGTCATGCAAACTACACTCACTCTCTTATATGAATAAAGCCTGTGTGGTTTACATGGAAAAAAAGCTATTTACATAGAAATTGTTTCTGGTAGAAGCACAGTTTTCTTTTTATCCATCTTACTTCTTGGCAAGATTTTTGACTTGAATACTTGTATAAATTTGATTTTCAAAAATTTAAATGCAATGTCAATCATCTTCTGTTATTTTATTATTCTTTCTCCTTAATAATATTTTTCTTTATCTTATATTTTTTCACACTCAGTAATCTCCAGAATCTTAGTGGCTTTGTTGCTTTGCTTGGGGTGAAATGATTAAAAAAAAAAAAAAATTTTTTATGAAGTGGTGATTGTAAATAATATTCAAGGAAATAATGTAATACAAGTTGCAAAAAAATGAGATTTTATTTATTTTTAATATAGTATGTGGTGTATTTTAGCTATCAAATATATATATATATATCAATAAAACCCAAGATATAAGTCTATCATTCATCTATTATTAGAATAATGTTGCATCATGGCCCCCTCTTAGACTTTCAACAACTGGACAAATTACCCTATGTTGTGTCTTGATTCTTAGTGTTGTGACTTGATTCTTAGTGTTGGTGTATGCAAAACCTTCTTCATACTCCCTAAGTAGGTTAAATAATGAGAAGGGAGCCCCTCCATCTTGGGATCATTGAGCCAATGCAAACAATCTTTTGCTGTATAGTATGTGCTACATACTACACAGCATGTAGCCAGGGCTGCGTACAGTTTTTGAATTCAGAGTTACTTTCTCCTAGACAGATTGCCACCCAAAGCTATAGAACCCAGTCTGTCCTGCTATTTTACCCATAGCTGGGGGAGAAGAGGATTCATATCTTTCCCAAGGCATTAGCATGTATGTGAATGTAATGGATTCAACTGGAGTTTGAATGTGGCTCTCTGATTCCTCAATCCAAGCTGCTATCCATTACTCCACTGTGCCTCTTGCTTTGTGTTCATTGACAAGAACAAAAGGTGAAAAAGCAAATACTGTTTCCCGTATATTTGGCTATTCATTCAGGGATTCAGTCTGTACAGTCTGGAGGTGGTATGTGGGTAACACTTGGTACAACTTCTGTCTGTTATGACAGACTAATGGATCAGCTCTTCCCTTCAGCCAGCAAGAACTCTTTCTGTTACGGCATCTTTGCCTATCTCTATATCATGGTGTGCAACTTGCTCATGGATGGCTTGAAGCTATTCTAACTGGAAACCTGGAACTCTCTGCTCATTCTAACTGTGACTCTGCTAATGTAATCCTTATTCACTTCTGGCCATATAGCACTTGATCTTGGAAATTTTTATTTATCTATTTTATTTCCTTTCTGTCAGCAGGTGGACATTTTGAAGATCTTACTTTGTAGGTCTACATGGTTATAAGAAAAAGCTGCCATGTTTTGAACCCAGATAATATCATTCGCATTCCACTTTCTTGTAGCCATCCTGGGTATGATGATAAACTACATCCTCATCCAGGGTATGACGATAAACTATGTCCAACAGCAAGGCCTCTGATCAGGTTTTGAGGAGCGTGGAAACACCTCTTAATTGCTGGTGTTCCCAGGTTCACCCTGACTCGGGCTGCTAGCACCTGTTAGGGTTCCAGATATGGGCAAATACTTAACACTCATACTTGTGTAAAAATACCAGATGTATTTTGTAATAAAAAAAATGGTTCAAATGTATACATACACACCTTTTTTACCAAGCTATCGTTATGAATCTATTTCAAAATTTTGTTGGCATTAAATGACCCACTGAGGTTTTGATGTGCCATAAAACAAAGCAACCAACCACTTTCTTGTAGGTATTTTAAGGAAACTATTGTGCCATATTTGGCTCCAGTAACCCACAGTGGTAATTCTACTATGAAACTAATGAAACTTAAGCTTCAGGACCTCTAATCCCAGAGGGACCTCTGAATCAACTTTTTTTAATGAGTGATTTTTTTTTTTTTTTTTTTTGTTATTAAAATAATGCCATTTTAGTGATAGAATCATAAGGCAATGGTCTGAAATAGCTAATGTTGTCCTTAGAATATGCTCTAATACCGATTTCGCATGGCCACAAAATTGGTCAAATTTCAAAATTTTCTTGGTGGTTTGCTGTGCCTGATCCCCCAGCTGTATGGGTTCATTAAACTTGCCGGAATCTACTCATGGTCTACATTTTAACAGTTATATCCTTGAATTTATTGTTGCTGGCTGCAAAGGGAACATTATATCTGTCCAAGCTTCAAGCCCCCAAAATATAAATGCAGTGAAATTATTTTGATATTTAAATGGATGAAAATTTATTTTACTTTTGATTAGTGACAATTGTATTTGAAATTCCTGGAGTGTTTATCTTATAAATCATCAGTTGTGATCTAATAAGTAAAGAATTTACTAAAGCTTGATCGAACACTTTCACAATGATCTTTGAAAAGATCATTTTACACCAATAACTTGCTTTGCTATTTTGATGGATGTGAAAAGGAATTTGAAATTACCCACTCAGACTAAACGACTTCTGCACATTGGCAGAAAGAAAGCCTGTTTGATGACCTGATTCAAAGATAGGACAGAATTTCCACCAATCATGAAATAGAATTTTTCCTCATGTAAATTGAGATGCATTTATGCATGATTGATGGCAATTTTTGTCATAGAACTCTGGCTGAAAGTCCTGTCATCTGTAATTAATGCTTCAGAGATTGGTTCCACTTTGATTCTTGTGTCTCTCAGATTGTTACTCTGAGCATAAAAGGATCAGTGACAGAAAGTTGGAATTTGGATTCAGTTCCAGTTCCAGAGGATGCAAACTTGTTTAAGGATGCTTCTGTGGATCTGATTTTAATGAACATCTATGAACACTTGGTGTGATTTTATTTTTTTGGCTTTCTTCTGTTTTTATCTTATTTTTGTTCATTTTTTTTTTTTTTTTTTTTTTTGTTTCTGTTAACCCCCCCCCACTTTGATCCGACTTGTATTTTAGTGTCCTAATTTTTTTTCATTTTTAATCAAATTCATCCCATCCAAGGCAGTAAAGTCACTAAGGCACAATGGGGTTACTGGGTGTGAAAGAATTAGAAAACAAAACATTATGAAGGAACAAGAACAATAGAAGAGTAATAAAGAAGACAGTAGATGACGATTGACATTGAATTTAGATTTTTGAAGATCAAAGATGACTGGAAAGCAAGAAGCTGGAAGGGAGTTCCACATATAATTATGAGAAAAGAAAATATTAGCCTAGAACTTAGTTAAATCTAGCAATTTGAAATCTAAAATGATGAAACCTAGCTGCTAAATCTAGAATTGTGCTTAAATTCATAATGTTTGAGGTACCAAAGAGAACAGCTCACCAGAACAATTACTATGAAAGTTTTTATAGAAAAGGCACAGGGAAGTTGTTACGGCAATGAGAAAGTGACTGAAACTGAGATAGCAGTTCAGGACCAATAACTTTGCTGGGTCTTCTTTGGATTTTATCAAGGATTTCTAAATATATAACTAAAGCACCAGACCATATGTGGTAACATTATTCTAATAATGGATGAATGATAGACTTATATCTTTGGTTTTATTAATATATATATTTGATAGCTAAAATACACCACATGCTATATTAAAAATAAATAAAATCTCATTATTGCAACTTGTATTACATTATTTCCTTGAATATTATTTACAATCACCATTTCATTAAAACTATCTTTTTATTTATTTATTTTTTTTTTTTTTAATCATTTCACCCCAAGCAAAGCAACAAAGCCACTAAGATTCTGGGGATTACTGAGTGTGAAAAAACATAAGATAAAGAAAAATATTATTAAGGAGAAAGAACAATAAAATAACTGAAGATGATTGACATTGCATTTAAATTTTTGAAAATCAAATTTGATTGGAAATCACGAAACCATTAGAGCATTCCACAAGTAAGAAGTGTAAAAGAAAAAAGAGTTAGCATAGAATTTACATTTCAACTGTAAAATGATGAGACATTGCTGCCAATCTAGTAATACATTTAAATTCATAAAGTCTATGTATCCTAGAGGAAAGTTCACCAGAACAATTACTATGAAAGTCTTTATAGAAAAGGTACAGCTAAGCTAAGTTAAGGAGATCGGAAAGTGACTGAAACCGAGATGCCAGATTAGGACCAAAGACATTGCAGATTCTTTGGATTTTATCAAGGATCTCTAAATATGTGGCAGCAATATTCTGAGCATGGATGAATTGTAGACTTATAAATATGTAAGATAGATTTGGGTGAGAAAAAATTGTTATAAGTAGCAAGATTGTATCCATTGCTGGCTTGCGAGGCCTGTTGTGTAGTTTATAGCACCCAGTATTCGCCAACAGTCACCCATCTGTTTACTGATTAAACTCAATGATGTTTAACTTTGGTGATCAGACGAAAACAAGATATTGTTGTAAATGAAGAATCATACCCGGGTATTTATTTTACATACCCACAAGAAGCTGTATTTATTTAGTTGTTTTAGATGGTTTTTGGCAAAATATTCTCTGACCTCTTGACCTTTGCTATAGATTCAAGGAGATACCTCCTTATATTGTCTGTTTCAGTTCAATAGAAAGGTACTGTGGAGGATGAATCCCAAATATCAAGCATTTTTTTCCCACCCCTCCAAAAACAGGAATGTCAATTAGATTTCACTATTTACATTATTCGGACTATTGTCCTTATCTTTGTCGCCATATTTATTACATTTATTATTTCGTCCGTTGTACGCTCCAGCCTTCTTCAGGTGGTTGGAATGTCAAACTGAACCCTTTATTTCACTCACTGGGGTAGACTGTTCTAATTCCACATGCCATGTCTAATGGATGTCAGTTATCAGTTATCTCCTGTTAATTCCTCTCTCCAAGTTCTTCACTGCCTTAACCAAGTATTGAACTCACACTC